ATGCTGGGATCATGACATGAGCCGAAGGTAGATGCTTAACAACTGAGCCACCCAGGCGCTCAGCTTTCTGCTGCCTGGAAAACTGCTCAGACTACGGGAAGCCTGGGGGAGTCCTTATTCTGCGGGTTCCTTCTTTCTTGTGCTCTGTAGGATGTCGCTGTTGGGCTCACCGCCTGCTTCCTGTGTTGCCTCCTGCCATCGGGTTGGGTCCTGTCGCATCTGGAGAGCTACAAGAAGCGGGAGTGAAGGGGGCTGTCCTGTCCCTCACCCTGTGACTTGACCACCCCGGCCTCTCCTGATCATGTCTGCTGCATTCCTGGCCGGATCATGTCCTTCAGTTACAGTGACCTCATCCTCAATCATGACCTTTCCATTTCTCCATGGTGACATCCTGGGACCACGTGTATTGGTTTATGAGGCCCTTCTCGGTAGGGCCCTCCTTGTGACAATAAAGTCTACTTAAACCTTGCTTCCGAAACTCGGTGTGCGGTTGGCCTGGGCTCCTGCCTCCATACTTCAGCTGAGGCTGCTGTTGGGCGGGGGTGTGGAGAAGAAGGCCCGGCGCGCCGGCCGTCCCTGCTGGCTGGCGGTCCTGTGGCAGGTCCTGCGTGCTCAGCCGTTCTGGCTGCCTGGGAGTGCTGCTTCCTTTGCCTGCTTTCCTGTGTTTGAGTGTTTTCTGGCTTCTGGGGAGGACACATGCTCCTGTTGTCACGGGGCAGCCCCCCTGGCTTGTCCCCTCTAGCTCTCTTGCGTGTGCCAAGCTCAGGGCGGTGCTGTGCGTACATTTGTGTGTCTGCCCTTCTCACTGGGGCTGGCCCTGCAGCTGGAAGCCCTCCGCGTGGGGCCAGCCTCCCCTTTGCTCCTCGGCCAGGGGCTCCAGCCATTTCTCCGGAGCTGCTTGTCCTTCGTAGATGGAGGCGTTCCATCATATCTTGCTTTTTCATGTCAGCCCCAAGGCGCCTTTTAGTCCTGTGTCTACAAATGCTCGTGGGCTGACTGGCTTCCTCATCCTCCCTCCCTGCTTCCCTGTCTCTTCCCTTTCTTGGCTCGGGGCCTCTGCCGCTCCTCCATGCCCAGCGCCCTTCCTCGGCGACCCTGTGGTGGCTGTGGGTGTCTCCCTGCTGGGATGGGGCCTGGGAAGCGCTCCACACTGAGCCCGGATAAAGACTGCACGACTGCACGCGTCTGGAAAGAACGTTCAGACCTGTGGGCCCCCCGCTGTGGAGGAGGCCGCAGCTCTGCTGGGGTGTGCTGAGTGACTCAACAGACAGGTTCAGTGTCCCCTGTGGATCTGAGGCGCGAGCGTGTGGCTGACTTTAGGCCCCGGGTGCCTGCACACGGCCCCCAACCCTTCTTCCGAGGGGCTTGTGCTTCCTCGCATCTGGTAACGAAGCTGAGTGTGGCTCCTACCCTCCCTCGGTCTAGCCTTTCCCAGCCTGTTCTTTCGGTCTCTGATGCTCATGAGCCCAAGTGTCGCTCTTGGGACCCAGCACCCGACTCCTGCCTATGCTTGCTTCCCTGAGGGGTGGGGAGTTGGTTGCCTGCCTCCTAAAAGGCTTTCCTTGAACACAAACCAGACTTTTTGTCTGGGGTTAGAGGGCCCAGAGGTTGTGCGGGTTGGGCCACTGACCACGGAAGGGGGATGATCCACATGGGATCCCGAGGGCCAGGCTGGGTTAGCTGAGCGCGGGGCATCCGCGGTCACCCACGGGTTCCTCAGGAGCCCTTGTCTGGGCGGGGATGGCGATACCCTCCTGAACAACTCGGGGCCTTCTGTCTCACGCCTCACTCTGGCAGGCTTTCCTGGTCACGCTTCCTGAAATGAGGGCTCCGAGCTACTTGGGTCTTGGTTGGCTCGGGTTTGCTGTGGGCACCGAGGAGGCCATGAAGCTGCCGTGAAACGATGTGACACCAGAAGAGCGTTTCTGTGGTAACCACACGGACTGCCAAGGCTTCCTACTGGGTGTCCCCCCATTTTTGTGCTCCTGGAACGCGGAGGGACAACTTCAGCCCAAAGCTGTGCATCTCAAGCCACTGCTCAGGTTGGTGGGAAGCCAGTGGTCAGGGCCACGTCTTCCAGAGTCCGCATCTGAGAAGGTCCTCAGCGAGCCCGTCAGCAGCTCTGGTTCCTGCTCTTCCTTGGCTGGCTGAGTCCTGCAGCGGACATGGGGCTGGAGGAGAGTGTGGGGTGCAAATCACCTGTCACACTTGAACCCCATCCTCCCCTTGGTGCTCAGTATGGCCACCAAGTCTGACAGCTGGCCACCTTTCACTATCCCTCTCTCATTCCTAACCAAATTGGGGCCCTGGGTCCATTCCCTGCCGAGAACACAAGGCTCCTTGTGCTCCCAAATAGCATTTAATCAGTCGGTGTGGGTGTGTGTTAGATCCCGAGGAGCCTGGAGGTGTAGGCGTCTGCCCTGGAGGGCACGCGCGGCTGAGGGAGGCTGCCCTCGTGGTAGATGCTAGAAAGTCAAGAAAAGTGTATTGAGAATCAGCAGGCCTGGGTTTGAGGCGTGGCTTGGCCATTTCTTATATGACCTTGAGCAAGTCATCTGGCCTCTCTGAGCCTGTTTTCATGATTGTAAAGGAACAGCGATGTGGTGGGTAGAATAATGCCCCTTCAGAGATGTCCGTGTCCTCATCCTGGGACTTGACAGATGTGATTCGTGGTAAGCTTGTTGAAATGGGAGATGATCCCGTAGGCCCAGCGGACCACAGGAGTCCTTAAGTCGGACAAGAAGAGCAGCAGAGGATGGGTATCTCAGAGATGGCCCCCGAGAAGGACTCTGCCCGTGGTGGTTGGCTTTGAAGACAGTGAAAGTGGGTCATGAGTTCAGAGATGCAGTGGCCTCTGGGAACTGGGGACAGCCCTCAGGTTACAGCCAGCAAGAACACGGGGACCTCAGTCGTACAGGCGCAGGGAACTGGCTCTGCCTGCCTGAGTAGAAGCAGGTTCCCAGAGCTTCCAGAAGGAAACACAGCCTGCAGATTCCTTGACTTCCGTCTGCTGAGACCCATACCAGAGCTCTTACCTCAGGAACTTTATGTAAAGTTAAACATTTGTGTCATTTTAAGCCACTAAATTGGTGGCGATTTCTTATGGCAGCAACAGGGAAACTCCTGCATCCTTCTCGGGCTATGAGGCGCTCCGGGGAGGGGCCGGCTCTGGGGCATCGGATCCTGAGCAGACAGAGGTGATCGGGGATGTGAGGCATTACTGGAGGGGTTTGCCCCAGTGAGGAGTGAGGGTTATTGTGGGTCTGGGAGGAGGGCAGTGGGGGGCTTTCTCTTTGCCATCTCCACCCCCCCCTCTGCTTGCTTTCTGCCTTAGGTGGTCTGGATCCTGCTGGCGAGTGTCCGCCCAGCCAGCCGCTCAAACTACAGCCCTGCCCAGCCTCGCCGGCCTGGCCTCTGCACCAACAAGGCCTTCCTAGACCATGAGTTTGGAGCGGGCTGCCTGTGGACCATCATGGGTTCCTGGGGCGAGAGCTGCCACGGTTCACCTGGGGTCCAGGTCCCCCCATTCCAGCAGATGCCCGATTCCCAAGCTGGCCCTGGGAAGGGCCGCCAAGCCCTCATCTTTGGCCCACCTTGAAGGTTTTCTTCTGGAAAGCTGTTTCCTACAGCCTCTGTGCTGTTCGTAAACTCTGTCTCTGGGCCTGAGCTTTTAGTCTGGGTCCTGGTACGGAGTCTCCTCTCCGTGCCCCTGACGGCGCCTATCAGACACGGAAGCGGGGGTGCCCGCGGGGCTCTGAAGAGGCACCTGTCGGGTCAGTGCAGTGGAAAATAAAGTCCTCTGCTGCTTGTCACCTTTGTGACTGTATTCAACAGCAGTCGGAACCCAAGTGCCAGCGCTGCCTGTTTTGTTGCAAAATTCACAGTCATGGCCGGCGGTGCTGCTCCATTTCTGGGTGGCAAATGGGGAGGGAGAGATATATGCCCGGAGCTCCGCCAGTGTCCCCTGTGAATGAGTAGTGGGATTATAGACGCTTCGGGATAGAGAATCAAAACCCTAAAATGGTCAAAGTAATAGAAGAAGCAGAATGAGGGTAAGAGAACAGTTATTAACTGCCAAATAAATCAGCACACAGAAGACCAGGGCGAAAGTCAGCCATCCTGGGCTCGATTTGAGAGCCAAAACCTCCCTCTGGCCATTTCCTACCCCCCGTTTTGTTTTTTAAAGATTAAAAAAATTTTTTTTTAAGATTTTATTTATTTTTTTGAGAGAGAGCAAGAAAGAGAGCATGAGCAGGGGGGAGGAGCAGAGGCAGAGGGAAAAGCCGACTCCCCACTGAGCATAGAGCCCAATGTGGGGCTCGATCCCAAGGGCCCACGATCATGACGTGAGCCAAAGGCAGACACTTAACTGACTGAGCCACACAGGTGTCCCTTTTTTAAGATTTTATTTTTTAATAATCATCTTTACACCCAATGTGGGGCTCAAACCCTCTACCCTGAGATTAAGAATCTTACCCTCCACCAACTGAGCCGGCCAGGTGCCCCTCCGAACCAGTCTGCCTAGGGTTGGGCAGCAGGTTGAGAGGACCCTTGTTTACAAGTCCATTTGTATACTGAAGGGACAAGTCTGGGTTTTTTTTTGTTTTTTTTTTGTTTTTTTTTAATCCACGCATTTGTCAGACAGCGAGCACACACGGGGAGCAGCAGGCGGGGAGAGAGAAGCAGGCTCCCCGCTGAGCAAGGAACCCCATGTGGGATTCAATCCCAGGACCCTGGGATCACCACCCGGGGCCACAGGCAGACACTTAACTGACTGAGCTGCCCAGGTCTGTTTTTTAAGCCCGACACCCCCGGGGAGGGAGGTATTTACTTGGTGTTGGCAGCCTGGTTGTGCTCCAGCACTGGGTCACAACTCGCATTCCTTCTCACTTGTCAGAGCAGCTGTTTCCTGCCCTGACCGTTAGTCCCAACCCCAGCTCCCTCGTGTCCCTGTCTGCCCCATGGATGCCCTAGTCAAAATATGAAGGGGTAGAGGCGGAGCGGTCTTAACGTAGTTTTCATTTTCAAGACTTTGAAAAGCCAAATAGAAATCATGTGGCTGTCATCAACTCTTAGTTCCTCATTTGGGAATACCAGTTCTGCTAAGTGGAGATCTCACCGGCAGTTCCAGATTTTGGTATCAAAATGGGGAAAAGGAATGAACAGTTTGGTAAGCACCAGTCCAAACAGGGTGGACACTTTGCTTTCTTGAGCTTCGAAGCAACCCCAAGGCTCAATGATCCAATAAATAGTAGTTTGCAATGCTGCTGGGATACAAATCCGGCTGCGCCTACCCCAGGACTGGGTGTAGCTCATCAGAATATTCGGTCATATTCCACTCCTGTACAGCCACAGACTGAGGGGTCTGCTTGGGACTCAGGCACAGCCTCCTCCCGGCGCTCAGATGCTGCTGTCCTGTCACGAAGAAGTTGGGAAACTGAGCCACAGACTAATTTCTCTAAACAACAGCATCTTTAGCATCTAAGACCTGCCGCTTTTTTTTTTTTTTTTTAAAGTAAACTCTATCCCCAATGTGGGGCTTGAGCTCACGACCCCAAAATCTAGAGTTGCACGTTCTACAGGTCGAGCCAGCCAGGCACCCCGCCCTTGCCGCTTCTTAAACTTATTTTTGGTTAATTCACGGGCAATTTTTTAAAAAGATTTTATTTATTGATTTGACAGATAGTACAAGAAGACAGAGAGGCAGGCAGAGGGAGAGCAAGAAGCAGGCTCCCCGCTGAGCAAGAAGCTCAATGTGGAACTCGATTCCAGGACCCTTCGGATCATGACCTGAGCGGAAGGCAGCCGCCCAACCGACTGAACCACCCAGGCGCCCCAATTCACAGGCAGTTTTATTTTTATTTTATTTTTTATTTTTTTTTATTATTTTTTAAAGATTTTATTTATTTATTTGTCAGAGAGAGAGAGGGAGAGAGAGCGAGCACAGGCAGACAGAATGGCAGGCAGAGGCAGAGGGAGAAGCAGGCTCCCTGACGAGCAAGGAGCCCGATGTGGGACTCGATCCCAGGACGCTGGGATCATGACCTGAGCCGAAGGCAGCTGCTTAACCAACTGAGCCACCCAGGCGTCCCTCACAGGCAGTTTTAATAGGCTACACAGAGACATCCTGTGTGCTCTTTACCCAGTTTCCGCCATTGGTAAATCCTGCAAAACTACTGTACAGCACATACCAGAGTATTCATACACTGTCAGGATATTGAACATTTCAGGGGCGCTTGGTGGGCTCAGTAGGTAGACCATGCAACTCCTGATCTCCAGGTGGAGAGTTCAATCCCTGTCTTGGGGGTAGAGACTCTGGATCTCTGGTTGTGAGTCTGAACCCCACATTGGGTGTAGAGATTACTTAAAAAAATAAAATCTAGGGGCGCCTGGGTGGCTCAGTGGGTTAAGCCTCTGCCTTCGGCTCAGGTCATGATCTCAGGGTTCTGGGATCGAGCCCCGCATCGGGCTCTCTGCTTGGCAGGGAGCCTGCTTCCTCCTCTCTCTCTCTCTGCCTGCCTCTCTGCCTACTGTGATCTCTCTCTGTCAAATAAATAAATAAAGTCTTAAAAATATTAAAAAAAAATAAAATCTAGAACATCTCCATTTCCATCAGGATCGCTCCAGCATCCTTTTTACAATCACAACCACTTCCCTCCAGCCTCCCATCCCTTCACTTAACCTCTGGCAACCACTAATGTTTTCCATTTTTATCAACTCAAAAAGAGGAGGGGCGGGGGCTGCTTTTCTCCTAACCAGAAACGCACGGAGTCCAAAGTTAGGTTCCAAGACTTTGGCCTTGACCGTAAGGGACGTTCTCCCCGCCGGAACAGGACACCGACGTCCGCTCAGAAGCGAGACCCCGTGGAACCGGGCGGTGATACCCTGGGGCTCCCACGTTAGCACGATTCCGCCAGGCTCTCCCCACTGCAGGCGGTGCCAGGAGTTCCGGGGTCCGCAGCAGCACTGCTGCCTCCGGTGATTTTAACCTCACCTTCCCACTCATCTCGGTAACACAATCCGCGCTTCGAACTCCAATGCAAAGAAACCTGAATTGCCTCCGGGAGGCTCTTGTCGTCGGGAACGTCAGGCAAGAGGAAGATGGAGACCAGCAGGAGTGCGGCTGGAGGGTGGGCGGGGCGGCAGCCGCACCTGACTGCGAGCTCCACAGGTGACTGCGCCTGGGGGGATCCCGTCGCTAGGGGCGTTGCCAAGGAGGGGCCACGAGGAGGGGCTCCCTTCCGGGAGGAGGGCAACTGCTAACCCGGAAGCGGTCGGCAGTGCGGCGCTGTTTAAAGATGGCGGCGGAGGAACCTCAGCAGCAGAAGCAGGAGCCGCTCGGCAGCGACTCCGAAGGTACTGACCCGGGGAGGGCCACCCGGCCCGGGCTAACAGGGGCGATGCCGGATCGCCGGTTCCGGAGGAGGCTGGGGACGGGGCCGCCGGCGGCCGGAGGCGAAACGCACGGACGGCCCTTTCTTCCACCGCCACCGCCTCCCCTCCCCCTCACAATGGAAGGAGCCGCCGCCGCGACCCTCGGCCGGCCGGGCCGGCGGTCGAGCAAGCGAGCGGGGCGGGCCCAGGCCCGGGGCTCTTTCCCTCCGCGCGCTCCCGGGGCGGGGCCTGAGCCGCCCCGCCCCCCGCCCAGCCCCTCCGCGCCGGCCGCCCGGCTCCCGGGTCCCCAGCCCTCCCGTCCCAGTCCTTGCAGTCGGGCCGGGGCCTATAGGACGGGCCCTGGCAGCCCGCCTTCTCCAGAGCAGCCCGCGCCCGGCAGGGCGTCGAGTTACGCCGGGCCGCGGAGCACAAAGGACTGGGCGGGCCGCTCGGGATGCTGCGGGCGGCCGGGGGCTGCGGGCTGCCGCCGTGCGTGCCCCTGAGGACTGCAGCCTTCGTTTCCGGTAGAGCCCCCTCTTCTGGCTTTGCAGCCCCTTTCCGCCTGCCTGGGCATTGTTTTCTTAGACCTCTGGAGGGGGACCTTTCAGAACGGTGCCGCCCTCTCCTTTTCACCCACGGTTAGGCCGCGGGGACCGAGTAGGTCACTTGAGTGGGAGAGACTGCCCTGTTGCAGGGAGGCGTAAGGGACGGGTCAGGGCCCCACTGAGGATCCGGGATGCCCAGGCCCGAAAGGATTGATCCTAAAAATCATTTAGCGCACACACACCCACTTCTAACCGCACACTGGAGAGACTGAATGCTGGGAGGCGCAGGCCCCCGGAAGGGACTTGCTCGGGATCACACGAGAGAGGGAAGACCAGAATTCAGGTCTTCTGGCTTCTCACCAGTGGCTGTTGAGGGTGGGGTCCACAGGTTCACTCATGAACACTTACCAGTGTGCCTTCTCCTTCTTGACACTTCAATGAGGGGAGAAAGGTGGTGGTGTTAGCCCCGCTTTCCAGCTGAGGAAAGGCTTCTGCAGCGAGGAAGCAGAGTAGATAGTGTGGTAAGGAGCTCAGACTTTAGAATTAGGCACACCTGGGTTTGCGCTCAGGCCTTCGCTAGTTATGACCTTGGACAGGTTATTTCGCCTGTCTGCCTTTGTTATTTGTAAAAGGGGCATTAAGAAAACCCAGCGCAACAGAAGGAGGAAGGGTGTGATGGAGTAAAGTGCAGGCTTATGGGAAGCTGTCCTCCAGCCCGGAACTCTGCCTCCTCATCTTACTTTCCCCAAGCGACTCTGCCTGGCCCCAGAGCATTCTTGGGCTGCTGGGGATTGATGTTAGAAAGTGAGGGTCGGGGGAGGGGGTGTTTAGAGCTGAATGAGTACACCTTGCCCTCTCATTTTAAAACGAAAACTAGGGCCTGGGAGGGAAGGGACTTGGCCAAGATCACACCATTGGGGTAGAGCAGTGTGTGAAATGCAGACTTGCAGATTCCAGGCCTGCCCTTCCTGGTCCTGGCTGCTCGTCATTGGCCCAGCTGCCTGGCATGGAGAGAGCTAGGGCCCACGGTAATCCTTGGCTTGCTTCCTTCTTCCAGGTGTTAACTGTCTTGCTTATGATGAAGCCATCATGGCTCAGCAGGACCGAATTCAGCAAGAGGTGAGGGGCTGTGGCCAGTGGCCCTGTTGTGGGGAAGCATAGCCTGGGCCTGAGGCCTGTTACTTATCTCTGCTGTGGAAGCCTCCTCCTCTCCAAGCTGTGCTAGGTTCTGGATGTCTTGGGGAGGGACAGGATGGGGGGGTGTCATTACGGCACTGGGTGATTGCTTTAGCCCTCCTCCTTTAGGTGTTCTGGCCGCTAGGTGTGGGTCACTCCATCTGCGTGCCAGAGCGTGATGGATTTCCTTCCCCCTGCAGATTGCTGTGCAGAACCCTCTGGTCTCGGAGCGGCTGGAACTTTCGGTCCTGTACAAGGAGTATGCTGAGGATGACAACATCTATCAACAGAAGATCAAGGTGGGAGCCTGGCTGAGGGGGTAGGAGTGTGTCTGCTTCAGACCCGCTCCTTGTTGGCCTGGCCTGAGAGAGGGTTGCGTGTTGGGGGAGCCCTTTGCTTGCCGGTTCTCAAGTGTGCGGGCTCGGGAATCAAAAAGACCTTGATTGCCAGCCTGACTCTGCCGTGCAGCAGCTGTGTCCTCAGCACGTCCTTCGGTGTCTCTGAGCTGTGGAGTCCTCTGCTGTGCGATCAGAATGAAGAAAGCATCTGCTCATGGGGTGGTTGTTGAGGCCTGTGGGGCCTGGTGCAGGCTGGGTAGGAGCTGAGGTCTCCTGCTGCTCGCCCCAGGGGGCTGAGCGGCTGGGAGAGGCGGGTCCTAGCAGAGGCACTTCCTGCTGCCTGCCTCTGGGATCTTGTGGAGCGCTAGGCAGTAGCGGAGCACAGGGGCCTGTGGACCTGTGCAAGGCCCAGCTCTCTCACAGCCTGAGGTGAGACCCTTAACCACTCGCTCTCCTTGGGAGCCCAGACAGTGAGTGTGTGTAAATAGTATCCGGTGGGCACAGCTTGAGGGTTTAGTAAATCTTATCTCCCTACCCCCATCCCCACTCCAAGATCAGAGATGCTTCAAGCCTTCCTCCTGAAGGGAGGGGCCTTTGGGGTTATCCACATCAGGGGCCAGGGAGGTGGGTGATGGAAAGTGGCCAGGGAAGGTGGTAGACAGGGTACCGCAGCTGTACCAGAAGCCCCCAGGGCAAATAGGAGTGTCTATGCCTATCACTCCATTGTTTCTGGGATCTGTTTTTCCAAAACAATCCAGAAATAATGATTTTGATGTGAATCTCCTACTTCTAACGGAAGACAGCTAATTCAAATGTAAAATGTTCTGTGGCCTAAACAGCACACCTGCAGGCCAGATCCTATGGTGTGGGGCCTGTGGTCTACTCTGACCCCCGGCTCAGAGTGTGATTTACCCAAGAGGACTATGGAGAGCTGAAGGTACTGGCTTTGGGGCCTGATAGACCTGGGTTCAAGTTCTGGCTTCACTTTCGGCTGTGTGAATTTCGGCACTGAATTTCTTGGAGCCTCTGTTGTTCTTCCCACTGAGTCATTCAGCAAATGTTTGAGTGTCCACTGTGCGTGGTCTGTGCGGGAGGTCTGCCCTAGTGCCGGTGACACCCCTACTCTGTGCCGGGATGGTCCTCGGCCTGGACAGTAGAACCCAAGCAGATGTGGGCACCTCTGCTCCTCTGTGAGGGTTTAGGGTAGTGGACACTAGATGGCCGCAAAGGGCCTGGCACAGGGCAAGTGCTTGGGATGATTCTAGTAGCTTTTCCAGTAGCTACAACAGTCTGGGCTCTTCGTGTGCATCGTGTGCTGTGACTGACCGTTTGTGAGCACGTGCTGGGGGCCAGGCACCGGTCTGGGTACCGGCAGTGGAGTGAGGAGCTGACTCGCTCCTGCCCCTACAAAGCTCGTGTGTCCCAGTGGGAAGACGGAAACAGGCAGAGGGACCTCGGGTGTTGATGGCAGAAGGCGGTGAGGGCTCTGGAGAAAAGTACAGCCGGGAAAGGAGAGAGGGAGTGGGAGGTCAGGCCAAGCCAAGAGGGTGGCGTTGGCGTGACCTACTGGGAGCACCCGGGGCGCAGGCTGTGGGCGCTGGGCGGAGTGGGGCAGGCCAGGGCCAGGCTGAGGTGCCGCGGGGGAGCGGGAGAGGGCTGGGAGACGGCCTGGGGCCAGGGAGAGGAGGAGTGTTCACAGGTTTCTCTGGTTCCTCTGGCTGCTGGAGCAGGGACACCTGGGAGGAGGCCTAGAGGTGGGAGTGGGGGTGGGGGGAGTGCCCGAGGGCCACGAGAAGCTGCGGACAGGAGACTTGGTGGATTGAAGCCTTTGGATCTGTGTTAGATTGGGGGTGGGGGGGCGCGGGCGGTGGTGATAGGTTTTGGCTAGAACAGCTGAGGGGCCGTGCCTTGCAGTTGCCCTCGGGGTGGGCTCTGAGGCGAGGGGCCCCGTGGGGGTCAGGACGGGCCCATGGGGTTGGGCAGCCTGGACAGGACAAGCAGGTGAGGCATGAGGTTGGGAGTCAAGGGCGGAGATGGGGCAGGTGGGGAGTTACATTTGCAGCTGTTGGAATCCCGAGGGCAGCAGTGGTGATGGATGAGTGACGCTGTCCCAGGCCCGAGTGGGGTGATGCGTGCCGCCCTCCTCCCCGCCCCCCCATGCAGCCACTGCAACGGGAGGGCGTGTGTGCGGGTGGCGTGTGCTGTCTTGTGTAGTTTGGTAGCGGCCCTGACAAGGTGAGAAGACAAGGAAGACACGGCGAGGCTAGGGCCTGCGGGCTGTGCACGGGACAGGCTGGACGAGGAGGGGTGGGGTGGGTGGATGGATCATGTGATGGGGGGCGTCCCCCCTCGTGGCAAGTGCTGAGCAGCCGGTCTGGGGAGGAGTGGGCTTGGCCCTTGGGTTGAAAGGGCAGGTGTGGCCTTGAATAGAGCGAAAGTCTGCTTGGATCAAGTTCACGGGAGAGCAGTGGGGACTGTGGGCGCGGATGACGTCCAGAGCAGTTTCGCTGTAAAGGAGAGAAATTGGGTGGTAGCTGGAAAGGAGTTCGTTCGTGTGAAGCAGAGGATTTTTTTTTTTTCTTTAAGCAAGAACCAGCCTTGTATTCGTATGTTGAGTCTAAACCAGTAGGGAGAGAAAAATGGATGATGCAGGAGGAAGGGGGAGCTTCCTGGAACAATGTCCTTGAGCCCAAGGGAGGGGACAGGCTCTGAGGTGGACCAGGGGGGCGGCTGCTGGAGCCTCAGTCCCTCCAGGGAGCAGGAGAGAAGGCTGTGGCGGGTGTCCCGGGGCTCAGGGGTTCTCGGTGAAAGTCCTCAGGAAGGAAGCAAGGTCACTGGGAAGGTGGGGGGGGCAGTTAGAGTGAATGGAGCAGGCACGAGATGGCCCAGGGGAGGGAGGCCTGCCTGCTGGCAGCCTCAGTGGCCCACGTGTGTGGGGAGGTCAGTCAGACGGAGGCAGTGGCATCGCGTGACGGGAGGAGGGCAGAGCTGGACCTGAGCAGGACCTGAGCCTGTGAGCGGGCAACGCTGGGTGGAGGAGACCAGGGAGGCTGTTCTCCAGGCAGGGACTGCTGTGTGGAGCCCAGCCCTGGACCCGCATCCTAATTTTTTTGCCCTCGACTCACATGATTTGAAATACTGCTCTCTGGAAAAACCGTGTTGGACCAGCACGGATTCTGGCCATTTTCAGGAAGAAACGGCCCGTGGGCCCAGTTGCCTGGCAGGCCCGGGGGCTGGTGACGACACCTGTATGCCCAGTAGCCAGTGTGTACCTAAGTTCTGGGGTCCTGAGGCTGCTGGGGCTCTAGCCAGCGGGTCTCCCATCCGATTCCCATCGCCGGAGTCAGCGGCCAAGGATGGCAGGTGGCTGCTGGGAGCCCCGTTGTCCCTGCTATGGTGTGACCTCTGTCAAGGACCGGGGGGTGTTCCTTGGCCCTCCCTGGTTCTGGCCTGGTGTTGACGGGCCTGGGGGTGGGGTGGGGGGGCTGCCTCTTTGCAGGATCTCCACAAAAAGTACTCCTACATCCGCAAGACCAGGCCTGACGGAAACTGCTTCTACCGAGCTTTCGGATTCTCGCACTTGGAGGCACTGCTAGACGACAGCAAGGAATTGCAGCGGTGAGGCGGGTGGGCGCCTGGGCGCAGCGGGAGTTTTAGGAAGGGCCGCCTGGGGCTCCCTCCCACTCTTGGGGCCTAGGAGGTGCAGCCCCCAGCTAAGGCCCGATGCCCGGCTGGGCTCCTTGCTCTGGTGTTCCGTGCTGAGCTGCACCCCCGCGCCCCCCTGCTGGCCTTGGCCGGTGCCCCAGCTCTGGGCCAGCCTCGCTGCTGCCCCATGAGCCCATGCCGGCCTCCCTTGCCCCCTCCCCCAGGTTTAAGGCGGTGTCTGCCAAGAGCAAAGAGGACCTGGTGTCCCAGGGCTTCACTGAGTTCACAATCGAGGATTTCCACAACACGGTGAGCCCAGCCACAGCCCCATTGCCCTCCTGGCCAGGGTGGGGGTGGGGTGGCCCGGCCACAGTGGGGCTAACCCGTCTCCTTCTCCACCGTGCCCTCTGTGTCCCTCGGGCGGCAGTTCATGGACCTGATCGAGCAGGTGGAGAAGCAGACCTCCGTGGCCGACCTGCTGGCCTCCTTCAACGACCAGAGCACGTCGGACTACCTGGTGGTGTACTTGAGGCTGCTCACGTCCGGCTACCTGCAGCGGGAGAGCAAGTTCTTCGAGCACTTCATCGAGGGCGGGCGGACGGTCAAGGAGTTCTGCCAGCAGGTGCTGCCCCCCTTTCCCTCTGGCCATGGGGTGGGGGAGGGGCATGGGGGGCAGGGTGCCCCCCCACAGGCTCTGACCACCCCACCCCACCTGTGCTGCAGGAGGTGGAGCCCATGTGCAAGGAGAGCGACCACATCCACATCATCGCGCTGGCGCAGGCCCTCAGCGTCTCCATCCAGGTGGAGTACATGGACCGCGGCGAGGGCGGCACCACCAACCCGCACATCTTCCCTGAGGGCTCTGAGCCCAAGGTGTACCTCCTCTACCGGCCGGGACACTACGATATCCTCTACAAATAGGGCCGGCCCTGGTGTGCCACGGCCCCGCCTGCCCTCCCCTCTGCCAGGCGCTAGACATGTACAGAGGTCTTCTGTGGTTGTAAATGGTCCTATTTCACTCCCCCTCCCCCTGCCCCATCACGCAACCTTCCACGTTTTATTAAAGGGGATGCTGGTGGTGAGCCGCGTGTGTGCGTGTCCCTGCTCTGCTGCTGCCTGCCTGGCCGCTGTGTGTCTGGCTGTCCCCCTGCCGCCCCCAGCTGGGTGGCTCTTGGCCGCCCCCCTGTCCACACCCGAGCCCCCCCACCAGGAGCAGTTTTGAGGGGCCTAGGCCTCTTGGGGACCCCTCCTGGTTACCTGCTTCCTTCCCTTCAGGCACCTATGTCTCCCTTCCTCCTTAGCTGGCTCAGGGGCTTCCACAAGAATCTGGGAGGTTCTTTGGGGCCTTGCCCAGGGACCTAGGACTGCCCAAGCTTCAGGCTGCTCCCTCCTAGGCCCTGACTCCACCAAGCTGTCCTGCTCAGGGCCCCCAACCTGACTGCCCACCCTCCCCTCGGGGGTCTGCCTGGCCCAGTCCTGGGTGGAGAGGACCGAAACTGTGGGGCCCGGCTCAGGACAGGTGGTGGGGCTGGGGCACCCCCATGGACCCTGCAAATGGTACCCACCTGGCCGGGGACGGGCAGCCTTCAAGCCAGCGCTTGGTCCGTGGTCCTGAGGTCGAGGCAGGGCTTTGCCAGGCGCCGTTCCTCTCCACCTCTCCCCCTGCCTGTGCCTGCTTTGCACCCCCTTTGCTTGGGCCACGGTGTCTCTGCATTGCCTTCCTTTTTGCCTTTACCTCTTCTCTTCCCCCACCCCAGCACATGTGGGCTCTTTGCCCCCAGGCTGTGAGCTCCTTGGGGGCAGGCCCTCAATAAATGTTCAGTGCTGCCGCCCACCTCTGCCGTCCAGCCCGTGCCTCCGCCTGCCCGGCTCTCCAAGCGCTCTCGCCGCCCTGTTAAGCCAGAGCCACTCATCCGCACCTCCGGGCTGCCGCCTCCTTCCCCAGCCAGCACCCAGACAGGAGGCCTGCTGCAACGGGTGGTCTTTATTAGAAGGCTGGGGGGGGGTTGCTGAGAGAAAGGGGAGGTGCTGAGGGAAAGAAGAGAGTGGGGGGGTCAGGCCCAGGCCCAGCTGCAGCCTTCAGGGACCTCCTAGAGCTGGGATCGAGGTCCAGCAGGCCCCGGCGAGTCTGTGGGCAGAACAGAATGATCAGGGAGTGCGGGCCCTGGGCTTCCCCCAGCCTCCCAGGCTGCCCTCCTGGCTTTCCTGCGTGGGGGTGTGGGGGGCAGGGAGTGAGCCCCTGTGTTAGTGGGCAGGTTAGTGGGCAGCCACGTGGCGGGCCAGGCCCTGCTTACCGGTCCTGGGCAGGGTGGGCGGCCGGTGGTTAGGCTGGAAGGCAGACGACAGTGAGAGCCTGCCTGGGGTGGCTGGGGGCGGGGTGGAGCCAGCGGGGGGGGGGGGGGGGGGGGGGGGGCTCCTCACCCACGGGGAAGTAGTGGGGGAGCCGCTGCAGGTAGATGCTCTCGTCCTTCTCCAGGAACACGCAGATGATAAGCCGGTCCACCTGTGCCAGGACCGGCTTAGCCTTGGCGGGGGCCGCCCTCGCCCAGGCTGCCTGGTCTCACTGCTGCCCCCACCGCTGCAGGTTTTCACCTGCCTTGCTCCTGGGGGTGGGGGAGGTGCCCACAGACCCTTCACAGAAGCTTCGCAGTGTGCACTCCACCGCCCCCCGCCCCCCCGGGCTCAGGAGAGCAAACTGGTCCGAGGGAAGGGGAGGGGCTGCATCGAGGGCTGGTCAGCGGAGCCGGGGTGCACCCCCCCCACCCCTGTCTGATCCCCTGGACCGGGCCCAGGACTCACCTTGTCCTTGTGTTGCTCCAGCCACTCGCGCAGCGTGGCCAGCACTACCTCCGCCGCTGCCTCGCTGGGGTAGCCTGGGGACCCCGCCGGGAGCGAGTGAGTCCAGGGTCTGGACTCGCCCCCCTGGGACCCGCCCAACTCCACTCCTTTCCCCTCCCCCCAGCCCGCCCAGGTCCCTTCCAGCGTCTGGGCCCACCCACTTCCTAGCCCTGCTCCGCCCCCTTCCACACCTCCCTCCCCTCCACGCACCGCCCCCAACTCACCAAACACGCCGGTGGAGATGCAGGGGAATGCCTGGAGCGCGGGAGGTGAGAGGGAATTGGAGACAGCATCACTCTCCGCCCGCCTCCCGCCGGTCGCCTGGGTGGAGGGTGGCGCGGGGCTCCTCCCCGGGTCCCAGGGTCCAGGCCGCCCCCACTCCCCGCCTGGAGCCCCGCCCCCTCACCGCGGAGCGGAGCCGATGCTCCAGCAGCAGGTCGAGGCTGCTCAGATAGCAGCTGCGGAGCTCGGCCGCCTGGCCGGCGCTGGGCTCTCCGTGGGCGATGGGTCCCACTGTGTGGATGACATCTAGGAGAGGCGACGGGGTCAGACCGGCCGGGGTGTCCACGGGGTCAGAGGCTTGCTCCCCCTGCCGGCCTGGGCCCTGGAGGAGACAGGAAACAGGACCTCTCCCCAAATTCTGAGAATCCCCGGGGAGGACCCCACCCATGCGGGGACTCAGGTGTGCCCTCGAGCTCAAGTGCTCTCCTCCATAGAGACTGGCAGCTCCGTGCTGCCCTCACCACGTCTGTACGGACCCGGCTGAGACGTGAGGCAGAGTGGGCGAGCGAAGGCACTGCCCCCTCAGCTCGTCCCCTCCCCGGCTCCACGCATTCCTCTCCTGCCACCCGCTTCCCGGTGCGTGTGAGTGGGGGCCGGCTCCTGGCACTAAAGGTTAATCAGTGACCCCTGAGGGGGCCTCCAGCAATTCCGTGGGGGCTGCTCCCCTAACCCCGCAACTACAAAAAGTGCCCTGTTTACGCCCCACAGGAGTGGGGGATGGGGTAGGGACTCACACTTGGCCGGCAGCCGGTAGCCGCCGGTGATCTTGGCCTTGCCGGTCTCACAGCTCTGCAGGGTGCGGCACTCGTCGGTGAGCAGGGGTCCGGCGGCGCGGTGGATGCAGCCGTCCACTGTGGGGCAGGGGGCAGTGAGCCCTGGGGCTCCCCGCGTCACGCCTGAGCCCCTTTTACAGAAGAGAAGGCAGAGGCCCGAGCACAGAATACTCCAATCCTCTCGGCTGTGCCAGGACTCACCGCGCCCCCGCGCCTCCTCCCGCGGCCTCCAGCAGCCGGCAATACCCGCCGCCCCGACTTGTTCCACATCTGGAGAGGCCCAGGCGCCGAGGCAGGCCGCGGCGGATCGGGGAGGGAAGCGGCGCGGGGCGGCCGGCAGGGGGCGCGCCCGGCCCGCCCTGCTCGCTCCCCGTCGTGCGGCAGGTGCGCGCGCGGGGCGGGGTCCTCCCCCTGCCGGAGTGGCTAGGTTAGGCGGGTCGGTGGCAGCAGGCTAGGGTGCCAGGCCAAGGGGAAGGTCGCTCTTCCGGCTCTGGCCCGGATGCCCCACCGCGGGGCCCGCGACCAGGGGCCGCCTCCGCCCGAGGAGCCCGGGGACGCCAACAGGCACCGCGCACCCGATCGCAAGGCGACCCCTCCGGGCCGCGTCCAGGACCCACTTCACAAATGAAGAACCTGGGGTCACCCAATTACAAGTGACAGATGCGGTCGGGGCCTGGAGCCTGGGTCTTCCAGCCCCTTCCGTGCGCCACGCGGGGAGGTGGACGGGGCCGCGGATCCGGGGAGCGCAGGTGGATCCCGGCGCGCGCCCCTGCTAGTTAGCGAGTTGCCTCGTTAGAGCATCCGGCTTAATTGGGGCGGGCCTGGGCTTGTTTATCTGAGGGCGGCTCCGGGGCCTCAACAGGCAGCGACCCTGGGGACGCGGGCCCAGATAAACCCCTCGGGCCCGGCGGGAGGCGCGGAGGAGACGCTCCTTCAGCCCGATCTCACCCAGGCGCCACAGCCCGAGCAGCCCTGACGGGCAAGGCGGGGCTCGGCTCGCGTCCGCTGTGCCAGTGGAGCACCCCGGCAAGTCCTTTCCCCTGGGCGTCCACACCTCATCCGGAAAACAGCCACAGCGACCCCTCCTCCGGGGAGGGGTTGGCACCCTGACCGGGAGAACGTGACCCACCTCCGGCGGCTCCCTAGCTCCCGTGGCACCCCAGGCCCCTGACAGGAACTCCTTGGGCTCGGGCTGCCGGCGCTCACCATGCCCAGCGGCAGGATAGAACCCCCATTTCTCCATTTTGCAGATGCGCAAACCAAGGCCCTTCCTCCTTCATCCCAGCCCCACCCCCAGTGTCTTGGCTCAGGTCCAGGGACACCAGCTGGACCACCCCCTCTTTCTTCTCTTTTCTTTTGTGCCCTGTGGGGCCCAATTAAACCTAATTTTGTGACTTCACTTGGAGCCGGCACCAGGCGATTTCCCAGAGCATCCCGCGGGGGTGGGGTGGGGGATGGATAGGGTTAGAGGAGTTGGGGGAGCCCTGGGAGGGGTCTGGGGTTGGATCCCATCCCCTCCTCTCCTGTGCAGGGATGGGTAAAGGCAGCCCTGGCCGTCGGAGGGGGTGGAGAGTGGGACCAAGGCAGGGCCCCTGAGCTCTGAGTCCTGGTGGTGCTCAGCCTGCATTATACAGTGTCCCTGCGTGGTGGGCCCCATTCTGGGTGAGGTGCCAGGTGACTCCTGGCTCCCGTGTCCAACAGCGGGGCCTGGGGAGCTGGGCAGCCTGGGTTCCAGCCCCGGCTCTGCCAGTCACAGATGTGTGGCCTAGAGCATATTACTTAACCTCTCTGGTTCTCAGCTGCCCCATCTGTAAAATGGGCTAATAGTAGACATCTATCTCCCAGGGCTTTGGGAAGGATTAAGCAAGTTAATTTCTGTAAGGGGCTTAGGGCACGGGTGAAGGTGACATGTGTGTGTTGGCTATTAGGACAGTATGATAGCAGGAGAATGTGCTCCCTGTGTGTATTCCTGGGAGTGAGGGGAGGTGGGGTCCAGGCGTCCAGGGCTTGGGGGGGTGGTAAGCACAGGCATGGGTCTGAGCCTCCGCTCCCTGGGGCCTCCCCGCCCTGCCCTAGCGGTGTCAGCCACTTGGCACCCAGCTGCCTGCCATCTCCTGGTGCCGTCCACCCTGCAGGCGCCCTTGGCCTGCTGTAGACACTGTGCGGAAGTGAAACTCGGCACCATCTGT